ATGCCTTGGCCTGCCTCCAACTCCTTCTCCTCAGTTTCTTCCTCTTCTCTTTTTGAATGCTTTCATTCTACACTCTTGATACTGCACTCAATTTCTCTTATCACTTCCATCATTGTTCCTCCTACTCCTCTACCACATGCAGCTCCAACTCACTAATGCACCCGACCTTTGACGAGGCCCGGTTCGATCCATACAAAAAAACAAATGACGGGGGTAGGAGTCACAGGCACAACGAAGCACTGTCGCAACAAATGAACAGTTCCATTAGCCAAAAACGAAGGTGACGACCACCTAGATGTGCAACATGGCCGATCGGATGATCACGGTCACAATGCGCACGACCTCCAAAGTAAATACGATGACGGTCAAGGCAACCTGACACGGACTGTCATCACAATGAGCACGACCATTTGGGATGCCGGTGAGTTCCCTGCTAGAATATGAGCAAATGCATTTTTCCTTAACTGGCCCGCTGCAGACTCTCCCTACTCTACCCACCTCCTCTTCGCAACCACAGAGATAAGGTATGGCAAGATCACGAGGCCAAGGATGACCACGAGCAAGACGAGCAACCTTACCACCGTCGCCCCCCGTCGATGACCAAGACAATCATCAATGCGATCGTAGCATCAGGACCTTCATCCACAAAATGTGCAAAATGAGAATGAATCTTTCGTTATAACATCGTCACGTTCATTAGCCTGACGAAGACGAGCAGCGGAATCTTGGTGCAGACCACAATGACGAAGGCAAATAAGAGCAGGATGATAACCAGTACTATCACACGCAAATAAAAACAATAATAACGGTCACGATGATGAATCTGATTGTCACAACGATATCCTTGGAGACAAGCACCGTCGGGACCGTGACTACCACAAAGAAATAGGTCAGGATCAGAAGGAACAAGGCGGGCACAACCTGCAAGAGCGCTAATACCACCACTGAGACGACCGTCGTGATGGAGACGAGTTGTAATGGGCAGCGATAAGCACAAGGGTGGCGACGATTGCCACGAAAAGTAGCATGACCATGACGATCCCGACTATGCACAACGTCATCTCGACAAGCTAGGTGATGTTGACGAGCAGCATGGCGACCACGTCTTGCCAAATGAGAATAAATCTTCCCCTCGAACCGGGGAAGATTTGCTTGCCACCACTGCCCACTACCATTGACCTACTCACTTAACCTACCAAATGAGAACGAATTTCCCGCTAGAACGTGGGGGTGTGCATTGGGCTTTATTACGAGGTAAGTACGTTATGTCCAACTACGCCTCCCTTCATCCCGACTCCACTTCTCACCAAAGGTGCAAAATGAGACTGAATCTTCCTCTAGAACGTGGAAAAATACATTCCATTACTCACCCGCTCATCTCTGAACCACCAAATTGTCAAACCGACACCCCAAACGTGGAATTTGTCGATGCCATCGTGCTCGCCATCCCCCAAAACCTTGAATTCAACCCTTTGCTCGCTCGTTTTAGTTGAGAAACGAGCGAGCTATTCCATTTTCCCACTTCGCTCCTCCTCTCCTCCGACTTCCCCACACACCTCATGTCTCCACTAACTTTTCTCCTGCAACTGTAACACCAAAACTAACATAGTTGCCGTACTCGCCCACATCCAAAACCTCGAAAACGACCTTTAGATCACCCAAATCCGTTTTGGAATGTGGGAGTCCTGCCATATCTTGCTCTCCCTCTTTGTGCCCGTCTTCATCTTTCTTCCCTGTCCTTCTCATTTTTCCTTTTCCTCCCAGTGTTGGACCAGCCGACGGTCGGCGGCCCTCGATCTGTCGGGCGCCGACCCACCGACCGTTTCGGCGGTCGGCGCCGATCAATCGGCGGCTGTCGGCCTGCCACAATTTTGCGCGGCGGCCACCCGCACCCCGTAGGCCCATTTTTAGGTTCTCCAGCCGGTACCGGGGTGGTTGGCCGGTCGGGGCACGACCTGGAAGGCCGCCGACCGCCGACACCGTCTTTTTTCTAGTCAGCGGCAGTTAAAAGAGTGTCCTTGGCCACATTTTTCCCATTTTCCTGCGGCGGCATTGGGGGCAGCCGTGAGTATCAGCATCCGCGATTCCTGGGGAGGTGAGAAGAGTGTGGGCAGGTGAGAAGAGTTGGAGCAGGGAGACAAGGCCAGGGTGGGGGAGATGGGGTGGAAGCTTGGAGCTTGATGCAATTGAGGTGAGGTGGAGGAGTCCACTCACCTGGTTCTCATGTGAAGGGTCTTCAACAACACATAGGCGATATTCTTCCTCATCAAGCTTCCTTCGTTGCGGCATGCAAAAAAGGTTGCCGCTTTCTTCCCCCTCCGGTTAATGTGTGTGTGTGACAGATATCGACAGGCTCATAGGGAGAAAAAAACTTCCACCTTCTTCTTCTTCCAATAAAATCGTGGCCCTAATGATTTAATTCTTCTTCTTCTTCTGATAAAATGTTTGTCAACTTTGCCTTAATTTTTTGTTTCTTCTTCCTTTCCTTCTTCTTTTTTTTCTCATGCATTGTCATCCCCACTTCTTCTTCTTCTTAAAAAAAATGTTTGCCAACTATGTCCTAATTTTTCGTTTCTTCTTCTTCTTCTTCTTCTTCTTCTTTTCTCTCGTACTTTTTAATTTGTGAAGTTTGCCCTAATTTGTTTGCTCTTCTTCATCTTGCTTCCTCTTCCTCTTCTTCTTCTTTTATTTCTTCTCTCCTTCTTGTTTTTCTTTTTTTTTTTCTTTTTTTTTTTCTTTTTCTTCTCCTTCTTCTTCTTCCTACCATCACTCACTCACCTCCATGTTTTTTTTGTTTTTTTTTTCGGAAAATCGTCGGTCAGTGG